CCCCTTCCCCTTACCGTCTGCACCTCCTGCAATACATATTTAAAATCACAAAACGAGGGTTAGACAGGAAGGTCTAGTGAGTTACCCTATGTATGTTATTGCTGGGTGAAAATCACCAAAACTTTTAAGTAAAACAACTTTTCATATATATATATATATATATATATATGAACAAGCAAGAACATATTACCAGTACCTTTCACTTTTCAAGACAAACTCTCTGTTTGCAAATAATGCATCAAAACCCAAATAGATTTGCACTAAATAGGTATATCATAGTGCCACTTTTAAACCTTTCTTAACTAAACAGGGTTATTCAAAGTTTTAGGCTAAACCTGTTATTTCCTCCTCGATAACATCCATACCATGATATCCAATAAGAACTCTGATCCTAAACCTTTAAATCACAAATAAATAAAGATTCCAAACTACGGTAATCTTAGAGGATATAATAATAAGAGTTATAGCACATAATACACATACAAATGCCACCCTTATATCCAAAGGTACACCTCTCCTTGATATGCCACCATTATCCCATGGTACACCTCTCCTTGATATGCCACCCTTATTTTCTCATCAAAACATTTCGCAAAAAAATTTCATATTGAACAGACCGCAGTCATAAATGTTCCCATGAAATTTTATCAGTTCAAAATCATCCTTATCAAAAATTCCCATTTTATATAAAAATGATAAATATAACAATTTATATAAACAATACATAAGTCAAAGTGCAAATCTGGTCAACATAGACTTGGTCGGACTTCATCTCCGGTCAAGCCTTGGCCGGATTACTAATCCGGACAACACTATTCAAGACTTATCCGATTTACAAGTAAACCGGTCGCCCTTTAGTCGTATTCATACTTCTCCGTTCAATGCTTTCAAGCGATTTATATTTCTCAAATCTCACTAACTCTTTACTTCGTACAACACTATGTGCGATTAAAACTAAACCGGACAACAAGTGTCCGATTTAATATAACTCGGTCAACACTTTGTCCAGTTTAAACATAATCCGGATAATACTTCACCTAGTTTAACTTAATCCGGGTAACACATTTTTAACATAATTCAATTACGTTATTCAAGGTAATTTTCAAAACTTTTAACCACTCACCTTATGCAATTCCTTTAGAAATAAGATTGAACCCAACTTTGAATCCACTTGATTCCAATCAAAAGCAATCCGGTCACCACTTCTTCTTCTTAAATCGCTCAACTTTTACAATGGATAGAAAAGTGTAAAGGAGGCTTAACTCCTCCTTTTATACTTCCTTTTTCAGGAAAGTCAACTACTATAGCCTTCTTTCCCCCTCCCCCTTCACATGCATGCACACATAAACCATGCATATATGCAACTCTTGTACACACACACACACATACATATACACCTATGCATATACTTCATTATGTATATAAATATCCAGACATTTAATGCATACTCATTTATGCAAATAATTTCATATACTAGCATGATCAAATATAACAATTTATCATGCTATCACATAAGCATATAACAAATAATCACATATTAATTACCTCGAGTGATAACCAGGATCCAGTTATCACATTATTCACCCCTCAAAAGAATTCCGTCATGGAATTCCTTTAATCAAAGAGCCACGGGTACTCTGATTTCATTTTCGACTCCAATTCCGAAGTTGCCTCTGGTCCTTTGGGAAACTTCCACTGTACTTTAACTAAACTGATTTCTTTGTTTCTTAACACCCTGATCTTTTGGTCAATCACGGCTTCTGGTGTTTCCACAAAGTTCAGTTTACTGTCCAATTTGACCTCTGGCAATAGCACAGCTAGACTCGGATCAGCTAAGCATTTCCGCAAGTTCGATACGTGAAAAGTGTTGTGGATCAGATTTAGTTCTTTTGGTAGCTCTAACTGATATGCTACTGGCCCAATTCATTTACAAACTCTAAACGGTCTGATATACCTTGGACTGAGCTTACCTTTCTTTCCAAATCTGATAACACCCTTCCACGGTGAAACTTTCAACATCACAAAATCACCTACACAAAACTCTGTTGATCCCAGATCTCTCAATAACATTTATAATCTAGTTATGAATAACCAAGTTATAGTGATTTAATGAAGAAAGTTATGAAGTCTCAAAAATAAAATAAGAAAGTTTAAGAACAATTTTGAGCTTCAAAGGTTTTACTTTATAGATTCATAAACGTAAAACAAAGAGTAAAAGCCTTATTTTTACAATAGACCTAATCATCTATTTATACTAAACGATAATTAAGAAGATAACTATCTAATGCTACTTTCTAGCAAATCGTCTAGCTAACAGATAAGGTTTATCTTTCACATGGATAAACATTAACAATAAGTCTTAGCTCCATTATTCCTATCTTGTAAAATTATAGAAAAGGTATATTGTAAGTCTTGACAGAAGGTAATCTCCATAGAAGACAACAGAGGACTAGCAACAGAAGTCGTTTGATCGAACAAGTGAAAAGTGGCAGAACCGCTGATGTGTCTCACAGAGGTTCTGGAAAATGGTCCTCTGTCAAAAAGAACACGCAAGTCATTTATAGCAGAGCCTCTGAGATGGCTCACAGAGGGTCTGCGGATTTGTTCTTCTGTGAAGTTTCTGTTCTATCTGTTTTCAAAGGTTGTTAGCCGCATATGCTTTTCACATGACTAGGGAATAATCGACTTTATTTGGATGGCTCAGATAAAGACACGCGTCAAAATCTTGTCACTAAGGTCGTTAGGAACTAGTATATATAGCGGATAGGACCTTTGTAATCAGTGGTGCTTCCAGTATTGTAAT